TGATAAAAACAAATACCCAAACCCTAGGCAATGAATGAATGAATGAATGAATGAATGAATGAATGAATGAATGAAGATTGAAATAGTTTTGAAAGCTCTGCTATATAGCCTAAAACAAAAGGAGGGAAATTTCTCTAAGGTTGGGCATAATACTTACCGGTAATCTGAATACTGCATCTGTGTCATTGCTTTTTCTCTTTCAGAATTGTTGTAGTTTTGGACTCAATGATTAAAGTTTTCACATTCACACACAATCCTCACCAGTTACATGTCTTTGAAACCTGCTATAACCCTAAAGGTATGTGGTCTCCATTACAGAGAAGACATATTGTTTGTGTTCTGTTGACATTATGCTTGTGAAGATCAATTGATGCTGCCTATTTGGCATATCTTCACTGTTTCCAAGACAGCTTGGCATTTTCTAAATGCAGAGCAAATGTTATCCCCATTATATGGAGTGGCATAGCTTAGGCAGCCATTTGTCTTTATCTTGGGATTTAAAAAGCATCTTTTGGGAAAGTTCCATTATCATACGGCATTAAATAGAAATTTAATCCGCGAGTTTATTACACAGTTATTAAAGTTTCTGGCTACATGATAATGTTAGTCTATATTATACATACAGATGTATTTTTTGCTAATCTTAAACCTAAAGTGTAGCTTACTTTGTGAAATGGCTCATTAGTCTGAAGACATTAAAACTTCTTTGGGTGGGATGGCCTGAGAGATGTTGTAGTAAAAAAAATAGCTGTTCTTCAATACTTGCAATTCTTTATTTTAGGTCTTTGTGTCCTGTGTCCAAATAGTAATAATTCCCTACTTGCATTCCCTGGAACACATACTGGACATGTGCAAATAGTAGACTTGGCAAATACTGAAAAGCCTCCAGTAGATATACCTGCTCATGAAGGAGTCTTGAGTTGTATAGCCCTAAATTTGCAGGGAACAAGAATTGCCACAGCATCAGAAAAAGTAAGCAAAATGTTTTGCTATATGGTTAATTAGAAAGCCATCCAACAATCTTGAATGCTTTCATACTAAGTTTGAATAGTGTCTTGATAAGAGTTTGCTACATAGTTTTATATTTTTAGTGTTGGACAAACAGGAAATCAAACTCTAGGGAAGATCTCCAGGTTATGGTAAATTGACAAGAGTGCCCAACTCCCAGTTAGTAGCCATTTTTAGGTCAAAATTAAATTGTAATTGATCTGGAGTGGTGTGGTCGTATTCTTTGTATATGTTAGTCATCCAAGTGATTCCATCATTACCAAGCTACAGTTCTGCATTGGCTGAAGTTAGCAAACCTTCAAATAGTCTGTTCTTCCATGTTCTACAAAATGTGCTATTTATCATATGCAGGGGGTAGAGCTATATCAAATTAGAACTTTAGTTCATAAATATCTTGAGTTTTAAAGCCAGTTTCATCTATGTCATTCATTTAGCAATACATGTGTTTTTCTTGTAAGCAGTTGTCAAAGAATGCTGTTAGATAGTTTCTGCTCATTTAAGCCTTATCATACTGCCTCTTTATTTCTTTCCTACTCCATGGAGTGTGTCTATGTTTAGATGTACCTAGACACAGGTATATGTGCTTATACACACACATGCAGGTTAAATGGAATAGATTGGTCTAGTAATATAAACTCTCTCATTGTTTCTCAAATAATTTCCTTGGTGCTAAACCTGTACAGGTAGTCCTTGAGTTACAACAGCAATTGGGACCAGGATTTCCGTTGCTAAGCAATGCAGACGTAAAGTGCAACATCACATGATCACATCCCTTAGCAACAGTAATCCCTGCAGTCCCCATTGCCGTCATTAAGCAAAGATCATGGATTGTTAAGTGAGGACCTCCTTACAACTTCCTGCTGGCTTCCAACAATCAAAGTCAGCGGGGAAGCCAGCAAGAAGTTGCAAGTTCCAGGCAGTTCACAAGCAGGCTGTCAGGTACGAGCACTGCAGAGCTTGGGGTGGCTGCTGCCAGGTGGGAGATGGTGCATAAGTGTGCGCAAGTGGTGGGGGAAGTATGATATGAGCATGGTGGGGTTTGGGATGGCTGCTGCCGGGTGGGGGAGGGTGCGCAGGTGGGGGAGACATGTTGCAACCATGGTAGGGCTTGGGGTGGCCGCTGCCGTGTGGGAGAGGGTGTACAAATGGCTCGGGAGGTGCAGCGAGAGCACAGTGGGGCTCGGGGAGGGTGCGTGAGGGTGTGCGGGTGTCTGGCAAGACACAGTGCAAACGCAGAGGGGCTGGGGGAGGGTGTGCAGGTGGGAGAGACTTACCCAAGCAACTTGCAACCTTCCCTGCCAGCTTCTCCATTGACTTTGCTTATGGGAAGCCAGGAGGGAAGATCGCAAATCGTGATCATATGATACGGGACGCTTCAACTGTCATAAGTGCGAGCCAGTTGCCAAGCACCCAGATTGCAATCACCTGACTGCGGGTGTGCTGGAATGGTCGGAACTTCGAGGATCAATCATAAACGCCACTCGTTCAGCCTCGTTGTAACTTCAGTCAGTCGCAGAATGAATGGTCATTAGCCAAGGACTACCTGTATACAGGTGGAAAGGAGTTTCAAGGATATTGAATTGGACTGTAACTAGGGGAACTAAGATTTTATTTCCCAATTGAGTATGGAGTTCATTAAATGACTTTGGGTCACTATCTGTCAGCCCAGACCACCTTCCAGAGTTGTTATGAGGATAAAATGGAGGTGACGCCATCTATACGGTACTAAAGTCTTTAGAGGAAACTCATAATTATGAGTAATTACCTATTATGAGTAATAGGTAAATGAAGTTAAGCATCAGTCTGTTTTCATCAGTTTGACTAGATCAGGTGGTGATCATATGATGGTAGTCACCAAATTTTGTGGTAGTGGGTGAACTCGGAATGTTGAGACCAAGTTGAGGGTGCCCCTCACAGATGTTTGACAAAGAGAGATGTCTTGCTTGCTTGTCTGCTCTGAGGTTTTCTGACCAGGAACACAATATCAATTTTCCTTACAGGCAAAAGCAAAATTCACCCATTAATCATAATATACCTTAGAAATGGGGCCTGAACTCTGAAATGCTTGTGAATTCAGTCTTCTGCTCCAACATCCATTTCACTGAAGGTCATAGTGGCAATAAGAGGCAATGCAGAGTTAAAAAGATTGAAGAGTCTGCTGATTTAGTACTGCTTTCCCCAACTTTAAAATGTGTTATTGCTTTTCAAGGGGACCCTTATAAGAATATTTGATACTTCATCTGGGCATTTAATTCAAGAGCTGCGCAGAGGATCTCAGGCTGCCAATATATACTGGTAATTTTTGTTTTGCTGATTAATTATAAGATTTGAGAATGTAGGAGTGAAGGGGAATTTTTAACTGCACATAGAGAGGTCTGTTCTTGTGACATTGAATGTAAAGTATTTAAATATCACGTCTTTGCCACTTACACTTTCTTAACTTTTAAAATATATTTATTTATTCAAATTTGTTATAGCTGCCCAATTCCAACAGACCATTAGTTAAGTAATGTATAGAAGTAGGATGTCTTTAAAAAGTAACTTGTTCCATGACAAACGTAGGATAAAGAGATATGTTGTTTCTGACCTCTCCATTAGTATAAACTTCAACCAAGATGCTTCTCTTATCTGTGTATCAAGCGATCATGCCACAGTGCACATTTTTGCTGCAGAGGATCCCAAAAGGAATAAACAATCAAGGTAAGCAGTTAGAGCCGGGTCTAGCAGGATTTATGTCTAATCAAAAATGAGTGAGATGGTTTAATGGTGATTATTTGCCATGGCAGTGAAGGGAAATCTTTATGCATGTGGAAAGTTGTCTCTTATCAGTTTACAAAAAGAAACTAAAAACATTCCCAGAAGGGAAGGTGTAGGAGAACAGAAGAGCTCTTCAGTTTGAAGCTGTTCTGTTGCCTGCTGCATCTCACTTTCTAATGGAAGCAGTTCCTGAATATGTTTTTTCTCTGAAAATGTATTTGTAATTCTATACAGTGGGGCAAAAAAGTATTTAGTCAGCCACCAATTGTGCAAGTTCTCCCACTTAAAAAGATGAGAGAGGCCTGTAATTTTCATCATAGGTATACCTCAACTATGAATGACA